GTATTGTAGTGTCATTCCAAAAATAAAAATAAAATTAATAAAAATCCGATAAATTTCAAGTAACTGGGGTGGGGTCACTTATAACATAGAAATAGCATTCGGTCAAATTGCAAATTTATTAGATAAGATTATTAAAAGTGCATTTTTGGAGCACAGCTGCCAGTGAGGTGTTAAACGTGGACAGTGGGAACTACAGAAAGAAGCAATTACAAACGTTTGAGATGTGGAATTTGGAGGATATTAAAAATACCCTGGATAAAAAGTTATATATGCAAGTTATTTTTATATTATTCTTCCGAAACTTCTTCCAAACTAGCAAATTGTCATACATTAATTTCAAAAAGTTTAGAGACGCTTAATTGGTAATTGTAACATTGGCCCTTTTAAATGTCTATTCAATCTTGGTATCACTAAGAGGAATTGTATTTCTGACACCTCACCATAGTAAACAACTAAATTTTGATACAGCTAATTTTAGATCTTCTGTGTTTGCCAAAAGCAAATCATTTGTGTGCACAACCTCGAACAATGAAGCTACATATTCAACGATCATCATTTCAGTTCGGAGTTCAATAGTGACTCGATCAAGAGACTGCAGCATGTCCTTTTGAAGGCTCAGAAGGCATGTCTTATCAATCAGCTTCTTTGATAAACTTTGACCATCATCATAACATATCCATTTAAAGATCGTTTCAGAAATTCTTTGAACTTTATCCATTTTAGCCAGCTGGCTATTATCTGTTTTCCAGTCAGTTATATCGATCGATTATGCAATAACTCTTCAGGTCTTGCGTTTATTCGTTATCGTCTATTACAAAAAAAACTTGAACTATACACTGTATACAATTCACTTATCTATTCACTTCAGGTTAGTAACAAGTCATGGAAACAATGAAACAGGCGACAAGCAACGACTATTTCAGGGGAATCCCCAACCGAGTATTAGAGCTATAGGTATACGAAAACAAAAACAACATTTTGAGAGGATCCTCCACCAATTAAGCCCTATAGTTACTATAAGAAAATCAAAAGACAGCGTGTACACTATAAACAAAAGAAGGTCTCGATTGTAGGGTAAAAATTACTTTCAGGTTAGCGTAAAATTGTTATGGGTTAGATTGAAGAAATACTGCCAACTTTGTTAATTTACGCGAAAAATTCCTTCTTTTTAGTATTGGAATTGTAAAACTTTAATAATTAATTGAAGATGTTACCTGAAGATAGTTCTTCATATCAATAACAATCTGCATGGGTCATCACGAAGCGGTCACTCAGCAGCGGCAAATGATTTATAGACTCGACAGGAAAATCGCAGATATCAAAAAAAACATAAACAGTTACTGTTCCGTTCGCAATTAATAATGATTGTTTCAATTACTCACCCGGGGGATTTCTTCCCCCTAGCTCCCACAGGATCTGTCGTTATAACCAACTCATATTCAAGATATGTGAATTACCATTTGTCTACTTTTCTTCGACGACTAGCTAGTGTCAACCTAAAATAAGTAAAGGCTTCCCTGGACACCCAACCATCCGTAGATGTTAGCATCCCAGTGACCAGTTCGGGGGCACCTACCTATGAGGCTACCCTCTCGAACCCANAGTTTTATGGAAAGATAAGCTCAAGATAGGAAAGAGTAGAGGTGCGTGTCCAACCAGTCTTAGGACTGACGACCTTATGATGATGATGATGATGAACAATATTAATTTACCGGATCCAAACAAGTATGATTCCTTGAGTAAGTGTTTCCTCTGACATTTCCCATCCAAACATCATACCCAGCATCTGCTAGAATGTATGCTAAAAATTTTAAAAATAAAAATGTTGATACATTATTTAACTAACTACGCGTTTTAATTGGTATTAGGGACGTAACGAAAAATTAGTAATTACCTACCGAGGCCTTTTTCTGGCCCAAGTAATACCCAATCAGCAGACGATCCAAGTATTCCATGCTGTAGAAAAACCACTGGTCAAATATGGTGTATTTAAAATGGGCGAAATATTTTTCTAGCAAGCACAGTAAATGACAAAAACAAGAAGTTTACTATTCTAACAGAATGTTATTTTTTCTTTAGATATTTAAATTTATAACTATTATTATCAGACTGTCTATTAACTCGATTACTGGTGGCAGCTTTTGAGTTAAACACAATGCAATTTACAAATAAATCGTAAGCATATATCATTATACTCAGTGCTGACACCTGTAAAAATACCCAAAACACTGTTACGTTTGCACTGTTGTCACTTGTAAACATTTTAATATGCAGTAATTATTTATCTCATAACTTTAATGTACTTATAAATTATCACAATAATTGATAAATTAAATTATTAATGTAGATAGCTTGCATTTGCACTTCGCTACTCAGCTCGCTATGAATTTGATATATGGAGTTGCACTTGAGCGACGCGACGGATCCCATGCTCATCACACAGCGGAACGCAAGAACGTTTAGACTTTCCGTTAAAAAATTATGACATGGTTTATGGTTTTTGTAAAATTTTCACGTTTGGATTTTATTCCCAAACGGCTGCCACCGACGCTCTTTTTAATGGAATCCCATCTTTTCCAAAAGCATCAAATTGAGCTCATTTAATTGTATTATTCTCTATTTAATTACTACCTACACCTTTAAATGAGCTTAACTTGATGTTTTTGAATTGGTAGGGTGTCGGGACTGACAGTCGATCATAAAAAAAGAAAACTTCACTTAATGGTCAGGAGTACATTCGTTAGAAAATGAGGAAAAGAAGGAAAGAATATTTAGGGATTGTATACACAGAACATGAACTAGGAGAGCGTTAGAATAAGAAGACAGCGTGGAGGTAAATAATTTGAGATACCCCTATATAGTCGTAACAAGAGAAGAGTTTGAGTTATTAAAAAAAATTAACTCTCACGGAGCTGTTGATGGAGGGAGCATTAAAAAAAAAACTTTTGGGTGTTTCAATCCCACCAGCCAGTAATTCTGGTGGGCGGGCAGTCCCTCCGGACTATGCCGGAAGGTAGGGCGGAAGGCCATCTTCAGCCTGCTTTCAGGAATCGTGGGAATGGGTGGGTGGTGGTTCGGGTGAGAAAGTTGAGACGGACGGAATGAAAACATAAGAGAATGAAAGATTATCTGTGGAATATTACCGCCCTAGTATTTGCCTAAGTGATCCAAGGAAACCACAGAAAAACTTGGACCAAGGCAGACGGACCCGGAATCGAACCGGCGTCATCCCGAATGCTAAGCAATGGTCTAAACCTCTAGGCCGTACCGTTCGGTAGGAGGGAGCATAACGTTAGTCGCCTTTTATACTCTCTCCGTTCCATACTTCTGGAAACAACTCTTGATATACGAATCTTGTACGATTTATTTTACTTAACGTGGTGATTTCTACTTTCGCTCAATCAACGCACGGATGCAGAAGCATTCACTACCAGTTTCTGTTAGGAGGCTCCTAAAACCTTCCACTGCAGGCGGTACCTATCTAATCTTCAGCAGGTTTCACAATATCATCTTTCCCACATCAAACAGGATGTAGAACTACGAGTTCAACCTAAGACGGTAGAGTAATCAGGAAATTTTTCTGGGGCTTCCACGAGAGTAGTATCATTACTGGCCGGATGTTCAAAGGACTCAGTTGGATTACTTGCACTCCGGAACAGGTTAGGGATCTTTCGTTCCCTTGACGTCTCTTATATCGACCGGACTATTAAAGTAATTTTAAGACCAAATAAAAGACTGAACATTCCACTTTTATAAAATCATATTTTCTTATTATTTTTGTTATTAATTTTTATTTATTTTGTTTATGTCATTAACTTATTATCTTTATTAGGATTATTATTTTGTTTGTGAAATTTCATTAGTTATGGTTTCGAGAGAACAACACTTCGCCTTAGAGCTTAGACGGCAAAAGGTTATTAATAAATCATTAGATTAAAAATTGTTTTAGGGGAGTACATACTGCGTTTGTTATATGACATAATCGCAATCAACTGTTAGTATCAATTTATTATGCATACAAATGTCGTAAAAACCTCTTATAGGCGGTGAAAAAGTGAAATATTTTATAAATTAAGGCGCGGTTTTGCATAATATTTTATTTTTTATTTTGATTAGAAATTACAAAATATATTATTGACGATATTGTATTTACTATCGATCAATATTATTTAAAAATTATTTTTAACTCAGACGAGTATACAGGCAAGGCAAAACATTCACCGAACATACATCTTTAACAGCATTTTACTTTTCATATTGCACAAGCGAATACATAATTTAGTGAATGTTGGGTTGCCTACATGTGACAATATTTTTTCAATCGCGTCTATCTAAAAATATTTCCGGCTTCTGGCACCTCTGAAACCTGTCCTAAACAAACCAAATTCTCATTTTTTTTTTTAACAAATCGTAACAGTTATCAAAAGAAGAAAAGTCTTATATTACTTCATGAAAAGAAGGCTGAAAGTATTTGACGAATTTTCCTATGCCACGTTTTATTTTCTAAACGATGATGCCGCCCTTTGATGATTGCATGTAATAGAATATTCCTAATATGTTCAGTTCTTAACTCGTCATTAGTGTATTTGAAAATATTTTATAATAAATACGTATGCCGCACGCCATTTGCGGAAAGGGTTAGTGGACGTTCATAGATTTTATTCTGCCCATTTCAACTGATTAATCTAAAATTCAGTACTGACTGGTGCTACTTTGAATTTCGTGCAAGAAGATTGGCTTCAGTAATTCAGAAGAATAACAGGACAAATAAATAAAAGAGACCCACTTCTAATTACTACACTTTGTTGAATAAATGGTTAGGTAAATAGATTATAAATCAAATATGGTGTATTTAAAATGGGCGAAATATTTTTCTAGCAAGCACAGTAAATGACAAAAACAGTTGCTATATCAGCAAATTAAATTAACTTCTGTACTTTCAAATCAGTCCTTCAAATATTGCTTGTAGAAGCCACCATCAAATAGTCTTTAGTCGTATACTAATGATGTTGCATTAGGTTGAGTATCCTGTTATAAATGAGATTGTTTGCGTCAATGCCGTATATGTGATCCATGTGGTTCCACATCGGATCAGGATTCAAGAATTTTCCTTTTACGTTTCCTAAAGACGATTCGAGTTTCAAAACGTCTTCCTCAGAGTTCAGCCAATCGTTTGTACTGTAAAATAAATATACTGGGGCGGTAGATTTACTTAAATCGTACGAAGGTGGATTTAAAGAACCGTATTTTTTAAAATTTCCCAAGTAACCATAATCGTATCTCTGGAACTTTCCTAAAATATTATCTAAATTTTCCAGACATGTCATTGCAGTTATCGATTACATTTTACCTGAATGAACGAGTTGACCAAAGTGTAAGAATTGTTTTGTAGACGATCCTGCAGGAGAGTGACCAAAAATAATAGGTAACATTGTATCATTCGTTTGTTTTTTGTTAAAACCAGTTATTGCAAATAATGCATTTCGACATATAAATTGGGACATCGAATCATCACTGCACCATACAGCGGCCAAATTTGCTATTAGTTCGCTTCTTGGCAAAAACTCGTTTAAACCAATAAATTTTGCAACCCACTAAGATATTAATTCTAATTAATTTATCAATATATTTCAGTTACAATAAGAAATCTAAGAATTTTAATGGCCCAGAAAACGCAACAGAGTACTTACTCTTACAGGAATTCTGATAAAGGAGAAAATCCTTACAAATGGACTGAAAATATGATTCATGTAAGCTACTGGAGCCATACTGAACTGCGCCCTTATTTTTGTATTATATTCTGGTTTGATCGACGTCATTACATAGAAAGCGGTAGTTCCCTGAGAGTGGCCAACATAGAACAGTTTCTCGTTGTTTGTTGTTTCAAGTGTATAGTCTATCATAGCTGGTAAATCGTAGAAACCAATTTCGTGCCAGCTGAAGTCCCAAAATTTCTCCGCATCTGTAACCTTAATTGACAAAATTACAATATTTATAGTATTTATTGTAGTTAGTAGTTGGCAGTATTTTTAGACGATATTATCACAAGAAAACAAAGAAGATTACTGCTCTTTCTGCAGTTTCACTTTAAGTAGGTCTTTTAGCAATAACAAAAAAATTACTACTTCTTTAAAAACAATACTATAAAATATAATCATTTGATTATTGAATGTCGCCAAATTCATTTCTTAATAGTTAAAAACAATTAATCTGTGATGATTAAAAGAAAAAATGTTAACTCGGTTCCTATTGGTCGTACAAGATTCGTTTTGTTTTTTAATGTTTGTTTCGAAGTCACCATATTTCTCGCTTAAAAATTCGTACGTTACGTAGGGGTCGCTCCAGTTCTTATTCTTTATAAAGAAAAATGACCCCCTTATTTGCAGCAATAAATAAGGGGATAAAAATTAATTTTTTGATTTGCCCCAAACGGGATATGAAGAACTCCACCTTTACAAAGAGATTGAACCTATCAAAGAGATTGAACCTATGTGCAACTGAAAATATTTGCTCAAAAAAAAGTTACGGCAATAACTATTCAAGTCTGTTGGGATAAACAATTTACAATATTTCTTTAACAAATTGACAAATTTACTCCCACAAAAACTAGTTCGATTCGAAATTTAAAAACCTTCATTTCAACGTGATAAAATCACTAAAAATATCATTTTTGCAGTAAACAAACAAGAAATTGCAATTTTTGACGATTTTTTGGGATTTGTGCAATAACCAATTGACAAAATTGATCGTAGTGAGGCTCAAATTAAAATTTTTTAACTTCTCTACAATTTTTATTTGAAATTTTTCTTTCTAAAAGGCATATCTTGCCTTCTAGATGGTTTTTGCCAGCTTTGGACCTCCCTCATTTGTTAACGCACACTTTTTCGAAGTTTCAAAATATACAGGGATGCTTAACTTTTCTACAACAAGGAACAACTCCTGTCCGGTAACAAATTTATGACGAGAAAATTCTCTACCAACTGGACTAATAGCGTACATTTTGGGCCACCCTGTGTACATATATCCAATTAAAAATTCTTAACGGAAAGACTGGTATGCAAGAGAAGAAAAAGTGGGGAAAGGGCGAATATAAAGATAGGAGACGAAAAATTAGAAGAAGTGGCTGATTTTAGGTATCTAGAAAGTCAGATAAGTCAGGACGGAAGGAGTAGAAGGGATATAAAGCAGAGGATAGCAACAAAAAGAAGTCACTTCTATGCTCGCGAACGATTAATTTAGAAATTCGAAAAAGATTGTTAAAGGTATATGTTTGGAGTGCGGCGCTGTACACTTGCGAAACATGGACGGTGGGCGCTGCGGAAAAAAAGGTTAAAAGCGTTCGAAATGTGGTGTTACAGGCGAATGATGAAGATACCGTGGATTGGAAGTGAAGAGGTATTAGAAAGAATAGAAGAACAGAAGATTCTATGAAAACCAATAATAAATAGGCGAGATAGGTTGGTAGAACACTAAGAGATTTCTTAGAGACAGAAATAGGAGTTAAGAGGAGTAGAGTTAGTTCTAGATTAGATTACTGTTCGCAAATAGTTAAGGATGTGGGTTGTTCTAGTTTTATGGAAAGATAAGCTCAAGATAGGAAAGAGTAGAGGTGCGTGTCCAACCAGTCTTAGGACTGACGACCTTATGATGATGATGATGATGAACAATATTAATTTACCGGATCCAAACAAGTATGATTCCTTGAGTAAGTGTTTCCTCTGACATTTCCCATCCAAACATCATACCCAGCATCTGCTAGAATGTATGCTAAAAATTTTAAAAATAAAAATGTTGATACATTATTTAACTAACTACGCGTTTTAATTGGTATTAGGGACGTAACGAAAAATTAGTAATTACCTACCGAGGCCTTTTTCTGGCCCAAGTAATACCCAATCAGCAGACGATCCAAGTATTCCATGCTGTAGAAAAACCACTGGTCGAATTTTATTTTTATCAGTTCGATCTTTATCATATTTTCCTTTAGGAATCCTATGCATTTTTAGAATGTAGAAATCTTTTGTCATTACAAAGTGGATTTCTACAGGATAACCACGTTTTTTTATCAGTTCGTCCTAATTAAACAAAACCCAATTATAGATATATAAAACAAGAACGAAGGTATGTTTCTATTTTATTATCAATTAATTTAGATGCTGTGGAATACAGACAGTTTAAAATGATTATTTCTTCGAGAATGTAGACGCATTCTTTAGATTACTTTATGATAATTCATTCAATATTAATTTTTATTACTTACTGTATAAGCAAATGCGTCTTCAACATTCATTTTTACATTTCTGAAAGTTTCTGGCATCCTATTCTGATCAACGTTTCCTTTTGTGTTGCTTGAATTCATCTCACAATTTATATTAAAAATGGGAAAAGAATTTCCAGCACAAAGTAGTAAAGTAAATGCAGCAATGTGTGCCTCAATCATTTTCTTTTTGCACAAAATCCGGAAAAAGCTATACACTTTTCAGCACTACTTAAATTGCAAACATTGTTTACTTCTTTATGTTTCTGTTGAGTATCTGTTATAAACTGTAGCTATCGATTTACGAACTACACTTTTATTCCAAATACAGATTTTCTTTCAACCGGGCAACGATAAGATATTTTTGTTTGTAAACCTTTCAGGAAAGAATTTTCCTCTTTTGTTTGCTCAAATTCCTTAGTAGTTTTACTAACATTATTAAAGATTTGTACCAATTATTTTATCTATTTCCTGTTTGTATTGTAAATAACATATGGCGCCAAAATTTTAATATAGCGAAATAAAAATAAAAAATAAAAATTCAATGGGAATCTTGTCTGTTAAAGTACTCTGCATTACAGTTAAAAAAAGCAGTAATTTTATTACAAGAACGGGAAGTCTTTTCTAAACCGAATATTTTTTATTCCCTTCTATATTGCTTTATACAGGGTGTTTTTCAAATAGGTAGCAAGCTTGCGGCAGATAGTACGGTACAAAACAAGAAAATGTAGTAAATGTTTGTTGGCCCAAAAGTTCACCGTTTTCGAGAATAACGTATTTGAAAGTACACATAGTCCGGTCCTGGCATGATCATGACAAAACAATCAATCAGCTAGTTATTAACAGGACTCGTGTTGTATTTCTTTTGTATTTGAGTCATGCATTGTTGTTTTTGTTAGATTATTATAAGTGTTCTTTACGATATTTATGTTATAGTCATGCTAGAATAGTTCCTTCTTCTTTTAACGTTGTAGGCTTTTATGTATGTAGTCAGTCGAAGTCTTTAGCAATAGGTCGGTGTCATAGGTCAGTGCAGAATAGTGTCTAAACGAAGAGTTTCCTAGACACTCGATTGGACACACGGGTCCTCTACGTTGACCAAGGTGTAGTATCTAAATTAATCCGCTTGACTTCTTTGCGTGAAGTTGTATGAAACAATGCATGTATCAAAAGCCACTGCAGAACGCTGATTATTTGCAAGACCGTAGTATGATGATTGTTGTAAAGGAATAAGCCATTTGGGATGTTTTTACACGACTGAGAAATCATTTTGGTATTAGACACCCCGAAGCATGTAGTGTATGTACATACGCGTGTGTGCGTGCGTACATGTGTGGGTGTTTGTGTGTGTGTACATATGTATGTGTTTTTCTAATGAGAGGGTAGGGGTATTGGCCAACCATCTACAAAAAGAAGGTAACCAATCTTGGCAATATCTCAGTGGTGGTTTGGTAACACCATGTTGTCCATAACTGCCACTGTTTACATTCTCCATCGATGTATTCGTCAAGTTGTTATCGTGATTCCACCGTACGTTGCCAGTTCACGCACAGAAGCGGCTTCGGACTGTAATTTCTATATTTTCCTGCATTTATTTATTCCTTAATCACGATGCTTAATATGCAATTCTTTAATGCATCTCATTAACACACTCCAAAGATTTATTTCAGAAACACCTTGTATTTATTCCACATTGTTTTAACTCGAATTTTTTTATACTTAAATTGAAAATGAATGTTGAAGACGCATTTGCTTATAATTTCTTTAACTCCAGATTCGAATGCTGATTTCACATTATAAATTGTCTCATTATTCAAATTTGTATCAATATTCCTCGGAACAATTAGTTGCAACGATAAAAATGACTTGACCTTTATGTTTGTTATCCTTAAGCATTAATAACGCTTAGCAACGATTTTATAACTTTGGGTAAAAGTATTCAAAAATACCTAGCACATATATGTGTGTATACAGAAATATCTAAAATAATGTTCTAAGTTTGTATGACGACTAACTAATTCTGGTTTTTTGCTTCTCAGTCATTACCGGATGCGATGGTAAGGGTATTTAGAAGTGAGCTTAATAACAACAATAGCCACTTAGAAGTGATTATTTGAAATAAATATTAAAATGTATCGCGAAGCAAAATCTTTTGAATTGAACATAATTGGTTGCATTTAGGAGTTCGAGTTGGTAAAGTTTGACTGTATTTTGTATTTCTTAAAAATTAGATCAAATAAAACCTTAAATAGAGATGTAAAAATTACAACAGAAAAATAAACGTCATGAAATATTACAGGTTAAGCACTAAATAAACTAACTTAATTACCAAAACGTTACAATTGTTTCGCTACACAGTAGCTTCATCAAGTGATGAAATACAATTATTTCATGATACTGAATGAAATTATTGTATTCTATTAACTGTTGAAGGTATTACGTTACGAAAAATTATAGAGCTTTTATAATGAATTAGTTTGAAATTTAATTAATTTTTTGTTATTAACTAGACCTGTTCATCTGTGTCATTTATTTATGTTTTAAACATTCAAGGAAGTTCATTTTTGTTTTGATCGATGAATTGCGATCTACGTCTGCTAGTTTCGATAAATGAGTCCGTTCTTATTTTTTGACGTGACAACGATGGAGCCGGCTGCACGCACGGAAAAACATGACTCATGCGGCGTTACCTCGCTCTGAGGCGTTCCATTTAAGGCTTGAACGAGCGACAAAGAGGCACAATCGGCCTCCGCGTTCGGCAGCGTTCGACATCTGTCTCTCTCCTACTTGAGTGAGCGATGCGTTCGCGTGGACAGCTGCTATACAATAATACATTTCCATTTACCTCCTTCTCTATATCCATACAAAATATCTATCAAACAAATAAAATTAAAATTTTGTTTTGAAAAATGAAACCATTCCATCAGTATTTTCTTATGACGTTGTCACGTTCAACTATCGTCAGTAAACCGACTTTACAGACAACCGATTTTTTACCTTACCTTTCCTTCCTTACGCTTTTGCTTAGTATACATACACATAACGTCGTTTGCATTTAGGTTTAAATTATTATTAATTTATTTATTTTTCTACTTGAAGAATCCTAATTGCTTATTTAGGATTACGAATAAATCCTCGTATCTAACCATTGTGTTTGTTTTTGTGTTAAGGATCAATTATTTTACAGGCATCTAATGTTACAAAATGTAAATGAAACAACCATCATTTATTAATCAATTCGTCTAATAATTATTACATATTTGGCTTATATTTTACAGGTCACGTTTAGCAGTAACTACGTCATACTATCTACTTAACTAAATTTATGATGGCAAAATTCATAAATATCACCCTGTTTGTCAAAAGAAGAAAAAGACTATTCTAAGTAGTATCACACTGTTTTCCTAATTTTTACATAAACAATTTGTTGGTCGCTACTTGTACATTTCCATTAAATTTAAAAGGTGCGTGTAAAGTAGTAAAGCAGAATCTGATGCCCACATAAAATCCAAATGGTTAAACGAATGATGAGGTACTTTATAAAGACCCACCACCTGGTCTAATTGTTTCGCCAATCTTTCTAAATCCTGAAGCAATAATTTAGGATTAGTTTCAAATCTCAGAGGAAGGCATGTTAACATCGTTAAAAATTTATTATACCTTCTTTTGGACCATCTGGTCCTTTTTACCATAAAAAATAGCCACCGGGGTAGTCACTTTTGAAAGATTGTAGGGGGTATCATGTGAGTATTCATCCATTTCCTTAGACTTACCACTGCTATCGTATTGAAACTGTCCCTGAAATACTTCTACCATATGCATTACTGTACCAAGGGATGTACCAGATGGGTAGTAATGAAATGCTGTCGGCAACATGGTCTAAAAATGCAGTACACATTAACGTCAGGGCTGTTGTTTTAAATATTAATTAGTATTAGCTTATAAATGAGAGTTTTGATATGAAACTTTCAGGGTTGAGACAATGGGTATTCAAGCAGAGTAAACGTGTTTAACTTAGAAAAATTTGTAGATATTATTTCTGAAAAACAACGTGTCCCTTTCTACTGATCATTCTTATGCAAGCGGTGAAAAATGGCGTGGCTAGTGGACTGCAGCGAGCTGATGTGTAGGAATGTCGGTCGGAAAAGGGGTCAAAACCTAACCTAAGTTCTTGCACATAGCAACGACGTGGAAAGTTACCACGCTAGCGGTTGCAGCTGGGCGGTAAATAGGACTGTCGGCTTAGTATATAGCACTTATACCTGATGCATACTACTTAACATTTATTGTTTAATAGTTCACACGTGTTAAAGGGAGAAGCATACACCAACGTTAATCTAATCACATTTAATTTAATGACGGAATTTTTTCCTACCATCATCATAAGGTCGTCAGTCTTAAGACTGGTTAGACATGCACCTCCACTCTTTCCTATCTTGAGCTAATCTTCGCATTTCCCTAAAACTAGAACAATCCACATCCTTAACTATTTGCGAAAAGTAATCTAATCTAGGTCTATCTCTACCCCTCCTAACTCCCGTTTGTGCCTCTAATAAGTCTGACTACACCTTCATGCCTGAGAAGGTGTCCTACTAACTTATTTCGCCTATTTCTATTTGACTTCCATAGAGTCCCCTGTTCTCCTATTCTTACTAATACCTCTTCATTTCTAACCTTCTCTATCGGTATTCTCATCATTCGCCTGTAACGCCACATTTCGAACGTTTCTAACCTTTTCTTTTCCGCTGCGCCCACTGTTCATGTTTCACACCCGTACAGTACAGCGCTCCAAACATACATCTTTATTAATCTTTTTCGAATTTCTAAATTAACCGTTCACGAGCATAAAAGTGTGTTCTTTTTATTTAAGGCGACTTGAACATGCGCTATTATATAAGAGTGTTACAACTGACAAAATATAAAGAAGGATAATCGAGTGCTTGAACAGGAGCGAAGAATATTTTAAAAATTTTATAATCCCGTTTGGTCTGGAGATACTTTCGGGTACGTAACCATGACGAGATCCTTTCTTTCTAAAAAAAGCGTTCCTTCATAAGGTCACCTTCATTCCTTTGACATTTTCAACTGTATCTATCTCCGGTATTTTCTTTACGCATAAGATGCTTGCGTAATATGGAAAGTCTGTGAATTTTTATAAAAACTTATTTATACCATAATACATAAACTAAATTTGTTAGATTTAGATATAGGGAACCATTCTACTAATCAGTACCGAATTCAATTCCACGTTCAATGATGAATTAATAACCAGACTACTGCTTTAAAAACAATCAGAATTTTTAGAAAAACGGAAATATCTGGAAAACTGAAAAATTTTTGGAACAGAGTTGTTTTATCGGTCGATCTGAAAAGGTACCTTTATCCAAAAATGTTATATAAAATACAGCATTCCAGTATTTTAATTAGAAAAAGTGTCAGCTTTTACGTTCTGTACCATAGTACCAAAACTACATCAATTTTCTAAAGTTAAAAAATTTTTAATGAATGGGTTATGAAAAACCCCTGTATGCAAGTTATTTTGAGAACATATTCTGTTAGAAACATTTTTAATTATTGTGACTTTTCATCCCATTTAACTTCAGCTCTTCACACATAGCACTTATCCCTGATGCAGAGCACGTAACGTTTGATGTAAAGCACTTCACACATACTAATTATGGAGATTGCATTGCACTATGACATTAAAAAAAGAATAGGTTCGTGAAAAATCCTGTATAAATTTTCCTTATTGAAGTGAAACTTCTTTATCGACGGTAGGAAGGAAATTTACTAGAGTTTAAAACAGAAAAGTGTAACTTTAGGACGAACCATAGCATCACGCATCACGCGTCACGCGCCATGTGACCCCTGGTGGATACGTCGAAAAGGAGTCATTTTAACAGGCTTCAGAAACTAGCCTGTTAGTAGCAACAGATAATCCGAAAATTGCCATTACGACAAATTGTCAGCAGATCGCGCCTACGCTGTAGTGTACGAAGTCTGTTCAAAAAGTATCGCGAATTTTGAATTTCCGCGGGTTACGTATATTCAATTTTCGATTTTTTTTGTGGCGTTATGTTAGTACTCATGCCTCTCGCTTATACCGACAAGTTTAACCATGTTGAATGTTCAGTTAATTTTTGACAGCTACTTTGCTTGCAAAAAATCTGTATCAAATTTGGTATGAAAAACAAAATTAAGTGCGCGGACGCATTCCGAATGTTGACTGTGGCATATGGTGAAGCTACCTTGGACCGAAGCAACGTTTATTAGTGGTACAAAAGGTTCTCAGAGGGTCGAAAAGATGTGAACGACAAAAAACGTACCGGACGCCCGAATACATCAACAACAGACGAAAACAATGACGAAGTGAAGAAAATAGTTTTTACCAATCGTCGAATCACCGTTAGAGCAATTGCTGAGAACTTAAACATATCGATTGGTTTCTGCCATTCGATTTTTAACAATGATTTAAGCATGAAACGGGTCGCCGCGAAATTCGTGCCAAAATTGCTCAATTTCGACCAAAAAACAGCATCGCATTAACATTGCTAAGGAGCTTTTGGACTCTATCCGCAACGACTCAAATTTGCTCTAGAGGATCATAACTGGTGACGAATCATGGGTTTATGGTTATGATGTGGAAATTAAGGCTCAATCATCCCAATGGAAGCTGCGCACGAATCAAGGCCGAAAAAAGCGCCAAGTTAGGTCGAATGTGAAAGCTTTGCTTATAATTTTCTTCGATTGCATGGGTGTGGTGCATCAAGAGTTATTGTCATAGGGCAGAACGGCCCATAAGAAATATTACCTGCAATTTGCGCAGAACAATCCGCCAGAAACGCCCGGCTTTGTGGAAGAACAAAAGTTGACTTTTGCACCATGATAACGCCCCTGCTTACACATCGTTCCTTAGATCTGACCCCTTGTGACTTTTTTTGTTCCCAAAACTGAAAGGACGACGCTACGCTACGATTGAGATAAGGACGGCATCGAAGGAGGAGCTGAACAAGATCTCAAAAAATTATTTTTTGAAGTGCTTCGAGGATTGGAAGAAATGTTGGCACAAGTGTATAATATCTGGTGGGAATTACTTTGAAGGGGACAAAATAGATATTCATGAATAAATAAACAATTTTTGAATAAACACAAAATTCGCGATACTTCGCGAACAGACGTCGTATATGTATTGCATATGCGTTAGATTTGTAATTCTTCTGCAGTTTTGTTTGGTGCAAACGTAAAAGGTTTTAACAAAACTAAATCAACATTCCGCATTCGTCCGCTCGAAATAAAGTTGTATTTTTCTGGTGTTTAGTAATTAGTTAATGAAGTAGTTTAAGTTTTAAATACTACTATAATATATAATCAACAGATGTTTCATTTCTTACGCGTGTACACTAGTACATGCTCGCAAGGAAAAGTGATTTATATTTTTTTGATTTGAAACAACGACGTGGCGCACATAATCAAAAGCATTTTTATTATTTAAACTCTGTTGTGGATGATTTTATTTTTTCTGAAAATTTGCAGAACACATAAGTAAGGTGACCAACTATACTCATTTACTGAGTTTTGTACTCTTTTTTCGCAAACCGTACTCTTTTCAAATCCTGTACTCTGAAAGTACTCATTTGTATAATTTTATACTCATTTGTATTAGTAAAATATATTGTTATTAATGACAATTTTCTCTTTGAAGAAATTCGAAGAGTAAATTTATATTTAAATGAAGAAAAATTGAAGAAATGGAACGATGAGAAAATAGAACCTGACAAAAGATGGCTAGAAATCTTTCGGCATTTTACAGTAGAACATATCCCACATGAAAATTTAAAAGTTTTAATAGAAATTTCCTTATGTTGCCCAGGCACTAATGCTGCTGTTGAAAGGGTATTTTCACTAGGGAATGATTATTATTGGAGCAGTGAGAAGTCGCATCTTTCTGTATCTGCCGTCTTAACAATCAAATTTAATATGCAAAATGAAAGTTGTTCGGATGTGGCTACATTATTAGACGAACATCCTCATTTAGCAAAAAAATCCACTCTGAAGAAAAATATGTTTTTAAAAGAAAATAAAGTTTTTATCGTTTTTTCTTCTTTTTTTTTTTCACCTATGAAATACTTGCAAAGTGTACTCTTTTTGAACAAAAAATAGTTGGTCACCTTAACATAAGTCAATGCGAACACGTGCCACTACAGTAGGTAGGTACATGAAACAAATTTATTACAAATTTTCTGTATTTTGCATTGACTACTCATGATTAGTTTATGTGATTTGTGAGTTAAATATGATTGAGGAATTTTATCTTCAGTGATCCAAGAACCATTTGTTACGTACGCGATTTACCTTTAAATCACGCGACCTTCCACTTTTGAAATTCGACATTGATACGATAATGTGAGTTTAATTTCATGCTAAAATGTAGGGCGTATATAACATGCATTGGTATTCAATCCGCAAAAATTTTCTAACCACTGCATATAATTGACCCAAGAATGTTAACCTAATCTGTACTCTTATAAAATATATATGTATATGCATACCTGTTCGTGTAATAAGCAAATTGAACTAGTAGCAAATAAGTATAGACATATACGTTTCAATCAATAAAAAATTTGAATAGAATTTCATTGACCTATATAGATAATAAAAAATAATTGTTTAATTCAATACATACGCTGTTAAACTGTTCATAATCTCTTCCTGTTACTTCAAACACTGATGATAAACAGAGTTCTTGGGAAGGAGAATCATCGCTACAAAGCAATTCCGCCAGTTTACCATTTAATTTTCGTTGAGGAAAAATCTCAAAAGAACGTCTGTGTCGCAGGAATTTCTGAAAAATTCCTCATAAGAATGCTTTTTATTAAGGAGATTGGAGAGCTACGCAGTTAATGAAATTACGTTGCACTAAGAATAGTAAATAAGTAATTGCGAAAGTTACATCTGCAAAAATTAATTTGATGAAGCTGTTAAACATTTACAATGAAGCAAAGTAGATGCTAAACATTAAAAAATAGATAAAAAATAAAATAGTTTCACCATTTTTTAAAATCGTCAAAAGTCATGCAGTTTTAAGAGACTGTTTTATTGTTCATCTAATTTTTAATATATAGTATATTTCGTTTTGTTATTAATATTTAACAGCTTAATCAAATCATATTTTGCGCATGTGACTCTTACAATTGGTTACTTATATTTGTGCAACAGTAATAACTTTAACAGCGTAGTTCTCCAATCTCCTTAAGTTGACTGATATCCAAAAATAATTCAGTATTATAAAAAAGAAGTGATAGAAGCCTGTATGAGTAATAGTTTAATAAAAATATTGGTTTCTCAAGATTCCTTACGAGGAAGTGGATGACAGTTTTAATTAATATTAACCCTTTCTGTATCTATTTACCTCTAAAAGTGGGGCCATATGAATGAGTGTCTTGGTAGCCATATTGAGCGACTCCAAATTAATGACAGCAGCAGGAGCAAGAGCTATAATGAGGCTGATCTTTTTATTATATTCTGGTTTCAACGAACACGTCACAAAACTAATTGCTGCACCCATGGAATGTGCTGTGATGGAAACTTTTTGTTCTTTTGTAAATTTTAATATATAGTCTATTACAGCTGGTAGATCGTAAACTCCCATTTCATGAAAACTTTAATTTTGCCTTTTTCATGTCGAGAAACAACAGTTAAACATTCAATTGAAACGCTTACCTAAAATTCCAAAACTTTTCATCAACATCCGGGTCCAAAACTACGTGATTTCTTGAATATACATTTCCTCGTGGATTATACATCCACATGTCGTAACCCGCATCGGCGAAGATGTACGCTTGAATAAGTGTTCTGATCAAAAGATTAAGATGAATCTTTGACAATTTTACTTACGCAAATCTTTGTTGCTTCCTCGAAATAGCCACGAGTCCGACGAAGCCATGAATCCTGGTAAAAGAAGAGCAACTGAATGTTGTTTATCGGATGTGGGTGGAAATTTCCGAATCCGATGTACAGTTAAAATATATCCGTCATCCGTGATCACAGTATGAGCTTCACACAAATATCCAAAACTGTTTGCAAGGGTCTCCTATCAAAAAATGTATTCCCTCATAGAAACAGTTATTTCTAAAGTTTTAGTCACATATTTTGTAAGATTCTTCGGGTATAAATAACTTAATTAATTAATTACAATTGATCAAAGTATGATATGATCAGCATAGAGAAGCAAAATCTCTTGATGATGATGATCGATGGTAGAATTTTATTATTCTGACTGGGGAGAGCCATGGTCTAAATAAACTGTTAGATCTTCAGAGAGAATAATGATTCTACCATGAATTCATGCCATAAAAGACTATGTTGTTGAATCTGTTCATACCAGTATGAATAGGTTTTTGGAAAAGACTCTTAAAATAGAGAAAGCATTGGTACCAACATAATTTTTATTCAAGGAACTGCAAACGTTCAGGATTTTAATAAGAAATTTAGCGATTTAAATTGATTTATACAACAAAAGTTTGTATTAAATACGTATATAACTAATAGAAACCCGTTATCTTTCGGGTCAAACAAATTCGATTTCCTTTACTTACTGCGGTACGTCTTACAGGTGACCTCTTGTCCAAACTTCGTCTTTGATATCCTTGTTTTAATCGTGGAAAGAAATTCCCCAAAACATCTAAACTAGCCTGATAATGCAAATAAATGCTGGCAAGCAGCAAAAGGATTGAAGGTACCAGTTGCATTGCGGCGGTCACAACAAAAAGTGAAACAGCACTCAAATACTTGTTGTCGATTACGTCCTGTTTATTTTTTTTTACTTACAAGTGGCACTTTTGATTTTAATGAATGAAACGAAAATTGTATCCGTTTGATCGATGCGATGCTATCAAACAAACGTGGTTGCGACTCACCGCGAAATTTCTTCGGCCGTATTTTTTTTTAATTGACTAGCCACAGGTGTTCGCGCTCTTGGCGTCGAATGGCTTATGGTTATGGTTACGACCACTTTCTACTGGGACATGTACATACCCATGCTTCTGCATGCTTGGTAGAAACTGATTCCCATAAGTTATGAGGTATTTATTCTCAAAGATCCGCCTATAGTGGCAACCATATATATGGGTTAGGTGAATACGACGATTAAGATAGGAACAACTTTTTTCTAAAAGTTGGCTTCCGCATTGAAAGTGAAATTGTTTTTACTCATCGATTAGGCACTTGAAAGAAAATTACGTTCTTTTTTATCACTGGCAACTAAATAGTATGATTATTAAATATTTCCAAATAATTACTAGATAATGAATATTGATTGGGAAATAGATAAACATAGTTTTAATACACTGACCTAATATAATTTAATTACTATAGTAACCAAATATAAGGTCGTTCGTTTTAAAATTGTTCATTTATGCAAAAAACAAAACTTACGCTTACAAACTTATTTTTATAAAGTATGGGTTCACTACTCGAATAACTAATATGAAGTGAAACAGAAATGTAAAAATAGTGCAACTATTGTTTATTCTGCAAAATATGGCAGAAATAAATTTGGTTTCCTTATCTTGAATTAACCTTGTAGAATGAAGTTAAATGGTATCGTGAGAACACGTAACGTAACTCCTCCATCCTTAACTCACGATCAGAACACCTTCGTTCTGGACGAAGTTATAGAAATTCGGGTCAAATATCGAATTTTTGACTGGCCAGTTTCTGTTCTGTTGTAAATTGATAGTAGTAGAACAACATCAATAGGTTTTACACTTAATTCAACACTAAAAGTATAATTGTTACAGGTATTATTAAAAGTTTGATCTTCTATAATTTTTTAATTTTTTTGCAATTTTAATGAATGACAATGCACAATCATCTCCAATTATCGGTACATTTCTCGTGGAAACCAAAGTTTTCCTATCTTCTAATTGTTTACGCAGTACATGGTTGTTACCTGCATTCTCTCCTATCACTGCAACGACGCAAAGGGAAGAATGGGATAATCGGAACTACTTAAAAAAATGTAATAAAGCATTATCTTTTCCTTCTATAAGAATACATGCACAAAGTCTATAGCTACTTTGGAACATGTAGAAAGATTTATTAATAATATTTTTCCAATCAAGTAAAATAGATCAAATTTGCAATCAAAAAACTAAATATGAATGTTAATTGACTGGAACTTGGAACCACTATTTATTTCAAATATTGTTCATTTTATTCTGGATAAATGTTAAACTAAAATGGCAATAAATCAATGTTTAATGATTTTATTAATAATAACAATCGTAATAAACATAAATATATAGTTAAATGACCGCAGGTACTACAGCGGAATCACAACAATAAAACATCATTCTGCTTCATCTTCATCGCCTGTAAGTCTGCCAGTTTTTCATATTTTCTTCATTCGCCACTGCGGGAAAATGGGAACCACTATGGTTCTAGTTACTCCGTTTGTTTATAAAAAAATAAATTGATAATCACTCACTACATAGTATAAAGCAGTCGCTTCCCGGTGCCTGTCCCTATGTATGCTTAGATCTTTAAAACTACGCAACGGATCTTGATGCGGCTTTTTTTTAATAAATAGAGTGATTCAACAGGAAGGTTTATATGTAATAATAAATGCATAATATAGTAGAGAAACACTGATAATTTTAGAGGTTTGTAATGTGATGTCGTAAATAAACACATTTTTTTGGGCTTACATTGCAAACGCTGGCTGAACCCTACGAGATAGATCAAAATAATGTACTACATTATTGTACACCTTAAAAAGGTCTACAAAAAAGTCCGCGATGGTATATGCCTATCTCTTAGGGATAACCCACAATAACCATTTTTTATCCTATACTTTTTACGAGAAATAATGGCTTAATTAAGTACTTTAAATACATTGTGCATTTAATATTAGATTAATTTGTCCTTTTAAAGCATGTAATTTAAATAAATATTTTCGAAGATATTACAGATTTAAAACTCAGGGACATAGCAGTTGCGGCGGTACCGGCCGGTTTGTATTGTCTAATGACAAAAAAGCTGTGAATGTTGTATATAAAGACATTCTGTAGTATATTTAGTATGTTCAGGGGGTATCTTTTGAAGATTTCCCCTTTTCGATAATAATCTAAACAAAACAAAAATATACATATTTAGTATCAGCATTGCACCAGTGCGAAGCTGGGGCGGGTCGCTAGTAGCTAATGAATATCCAAGGCAGTGTATTATCATGTAGTATTTGCTGCTAATACTGAAGTATTTCATGTGTTCATATAAAGTCCCTCTTTAAGACCTGCATCGGTTTAATTAGTAAAATATTGAGACCGCCTACGGTGCGCTGAAAAGATCTAATGAAATTGAAATCGTGGTATGCGACTGGTCGTTTCCATGATTTCTGACCAAAAACTTATTAAACGTTCGTGAAAATCAAAACCAACTGTTTATAATGCCGTAGGTTCATTCTATATTGACTGCTTTATTAAAAAACAATAAAACAATAAATTTATAGTATATTTTATATATGTATGTTATGAAAATGATGTAATAATGTATATGTATATGAATACAGGGTATAATAGAAATAAGCGCCTAGCTTGCAGGAAGTGATAGAGCACTGAAAACATGAAAATTAACTAAATGTTTGAATTAAATAATTCGAAATGGTCTGCATTCTGTCGAAACTGCCGGACGCGTTTTATAATATACCACAAATGGCACACAAATGTACTACAGATGGCGTTTACTGCGCTGGTTAGCTACGCCGGGATTCGTTTCAGGAAGTAGATATCCATATATTTAAATGGACCTTGCTGAAGAATACGTAATCTTAAAATGTAGCACTGTACTACAGATGGCGTTTACAGCGTCATTTGTCGTATTTTCTAAAACGCGCTGTGAAGACAGCTGGTAAAAATTGGTCTGTGTTCTGTCGAAGCTGTCTGCGACGCGCTGATGAGATCCAAAGAGATCGAAATAGCGATCTGCGTCTGACAGTTTCGACAGAATACAGACCATTTCGAATTATTTTATTTGATTATAGTAACGTGCCTATCACGTAGTGGTTAGCTACACCCGGGATATGTTTCAGCAAGTAGATATCCATATATTTAAATGGACCTTGTTGAAGCGTACGTAATCCTAAAATGTAGCATTGTACTACAGATGGCGTTTACTGCGCCGTTTGTGGTATATTAACTAAATGTTTGTTAGTCCGAAAGTTCATTGTTTTCGAGAAAATCATAGTTGAAAGTACAGATAAATACAATTTGGACCCTGGCAAAAAAGTACGACCCGCAACGCTGCACTCAATCAGCTAATGGTTACCAGCATTAGTGTAATATTTGTTTTGATTTTTTAGCTCATGTATTGTTTATTTGTCAGATTATATTAAGTGTGATTGAGGGTGTAGTAGTAGCCGTTTATTCTCTTAACGTTTAAACCTGGTATGAGGTAAATGATGTCCAGTTCAATAAACTAATTCTGCAATACAACATCAATCATTAGTGCAGGTTGTTCAAAAATATCCGATTTAAACCATATCGCCGCTGTAGGGACGAAATCCTCAGTTTCAAAGAAGACAATCTCCAAAATAGTGCACGCGAAATAGAAAAGGACGTTGGCTCCTCTCATGTGACAGTGTGGCAAATTATAAAGGAACAGTTGCTGCATCTTTATCATTTGCAACGAGTGCAAGCTTTGCTTGAAACTGATTTACATCCCCGAGTGAATTTGTGTCGTTGGTTTCGAAGGAAAAGTGCTGTCTAGCTGAATTTTTTCCATATTAGGGTGTTTGCAGACAAATTTGCTTGACGTGGGACGGAATTTTGAATTTTCAATAATCACTGTTGGTGCGATGCAAATTTGCATCCTTCGCGATTTCAAGAACTGTTATAGGTAAATGTGTGGTACGAAATTTTTGATGTCTTATTTTACTGTTTTGGTAAGTTTACTTACAGCTCCCCCAAAATAAAATACGTATGGGAATATCTCAGTTGTAATGTGAAAAATTTGCCTTAGTAAAATTACAATTATTCAGATGATGCATATCTACGTTACATAACTTACTTTTTTTCTTTCTTTTGTGTTTGCACATTTACATAGTGCTGTCCATAACGTACTTATTTGGTCCAAACGTTATATGTAGTACTAGACCTTCAATAATCGCCAATGTTTACATTCTCCATCCTTGTAGCTGCAAAGTTTTCATTGCACTATTTGGTAGACACCTATGTTGTCAATTCACACACAGGACCGGCTTTAGACTATAAATTATTAAGATTTTCTTTTATCAAAATTTTATTTTGCCCTTAACTCCGCGTACGATTATTTATTGTATCTTGTTTACACCCTCCAAATCTCATCACTTATTTCTGTTACACCCTGTATACTCACATGCGGTCACTGGCGCCACTGGTTGAATATATCGGCTGATCGGTAATTAAGAGAGTGCCTTTTAAATGCTGCACACTGGCTCCCATTGCTCACTGGTCCCTATTGCCTCATTCTCTCATATTTCGTAATGGCTAATTAGCACACAACCTTTACTTTTCGATGACACTACACTTTTCGCCAGTCTAGAATTCGTTATTTGCACTCTGCGAGTGGAATTTGCTGGCTGGCATCATAATTTTATAATCAAAATTGGGGATATTTATGTTACGGATAATGTGATTAATAAATAACGATTATAAATAAAGCAAAATTTTAAGTAACGTAAACCAAAATTTTACGACGCAGCCCATTTATTAAACTGGGGGTGCCGAGGTCGGCATCTGTATAGAGAGCTGACCATTTCCCTCTGTTTTGTTTATTTTGTATAAATACGTAAGTAAAAGTATTCTAAGCCAATAACACTCATGCACACTATGAACCCACACATGGATCTAGCAATAACTCTAGACAAAGTTCCTAAGCGGGCAAACCTTTTATCTCTCATAAACGGCACCATACAATCATGTAGCATAGAAACACTGCTCCACACATACAAAAATTTCGTAAGACTACTAATCGATTACCGAGCAGTCTCACTAACAAATATTTCCGATAGTCAATCAGAAGTCCTTCTCGCCACCGAAAGAGGAATCCTAAGGAAAATCGCCAGACTAGGAAGGTTCTTCCCTTCACAAGACCTGTACAACATCGTAGATATCCCACCCATCACAGACCGTATCGTCACACTTCAAATCAAATTTGTTAAAAGGGCCATCCAAACAAATAACCCCATCTCCACACGTACACTTACACAACCTCCCCGCAGAATAACCACCAAACCCAAACAAAAAGTCACTTTCCCTCCCGCCCGACTCCTGTCCATTACCCCAGATCTCCCCGATGATTTCATCGACCACCTTAATTCCCTACCCAACTCCATCAGATAACCACAAAACCAACCCAACTAAACACAAACACACACACAAGTAACACTCACAAAAAATCACAAATCAGATAACAAAACTATACATATGGCTGAAGAGGACCAACTGCACTGGTCCTAGAACGGCCTGAGGTAGAGGGGTTTTAGTTGGTAGGCGCTCCTTCAGAGTGAATCCAACACCACCCTATCATACGGACGGCAGGGTGTCTTTTGAAGATTTCCCCTCTTCCCCGAAAAAAAAAAAATATTCTAAGCCATCACTCTTTACTTCGCTATACCCTCGACATTTTTCTAAGAAAATCTTCTGTGTCTGATTGTTTATTTTATTTATTATTTTCGTATTTTTGAATATGCAGTTTACCCACCAGGAAATCGTTACCTAGATATAACAATGATTCTGAGGAAAAATTTCCTCTTTGAAAGAAATCCCTGAAAAGTCTAAATGAATCCTAATAATTTCTAGTCCAAACATTAGCCCTTACAGTAAACCCCCCCAGAATTTTTCCTAATGCTGTGACAGCATTAAGAATATTACTGACCGTACCCGTTTCTGTAGCTTCTGGAGAAAGAAGCTTCTCCGAATAATAGAAAATTGTTTAAGATTGACATTAATTTCAATAGAAAATGAGGTGGCAAACACATTAAACTATTTTTAAACAGTTTAATTTCTACTTTTGCATTAAAGCTAGAAAATCTATTTGGTTTTTTCATTGATATTTATATTGTATAATTTTGAATTGTACGACACATGTTTTGTTTATAGATATTAAGTACATTTGCATAAATAAAAATTGCAAAAACAAATGTTTTTTGTATCTGTATATATATACGACGGTCATTTAACAGTATGCACGGGGAGGTCTTAATTTTAGAGACGGCCCTGGTCAAGAACATCGCAAAGGTCTTTTTATAAAATTACGCCTTCGATCAGAACGTAGCATGCATGGTGCCATGAAAAGTTCATTCAAAAGTTGGATCAGACAATTATGGGTGCATTTGCGGTAGCCGAATCGTTTATGTTTATATTTCAGCACCTTTTTTGCAATGTTTTGAATAAATTCTCTGTGTATGGTATATTCTATTAATCCAAGAAGTCATTGAATTTCTTTGGATATTTGTTTTGCGCCAAATTTGCATGTAATGATTTAGAATATATGTATAACGACATATACAAAAAACGGAATTGATAAAAGTATTCACGAAAAATATCTATAGTAACTCTGAAAAATAGAGGGGCATTTTTCAAACCATAAAGTAACCTGGCATATTCCCAATAACCATTATTAACTGTGAAAGCCGATTTATCTAGGAATTAAATGATACCTATATAACCTGAAAAAAACAGTTTCTTCGTCAATTAATCTTACTTTGTGTGTAACAGCATTTGAAAAATCATGAAATATATCCTCGTATTTCCTACATTATGAAAAAATTTCACATTGATTTTCTTCATTTAAATGATCTACCTTAACAAATTTTCTTATATCAACATTATTGTGACTCTAATTTAGTTTGACGAAATCAATATTTTTAATAGGTCGTGTTAGGTACATCAATTTGTTGGTGAAAATATATCTCAATTTTGCATAAACGTTTACCTACTTCTTCATATTGAGGAACTATTTCTTTAGCAATATTGATTCCTAAATAATTTGCAATTTTTATAAATAATGTATTTGGGTTACAAGAAATTGTTAAGTCAGATTCCGAATCGTTCGATTTAGAAATTCTATTGAGTAAAGGAGATTTACAGTAATAAACAAAAGAAACAAAAAATGTAAATACTAAAGGAAAAAAGGATCAATAGCTTACAGGACTATTTGAAGGACTAGGTAAGCCATATCGATTATGATGCTTAGCTGTACACTCTGTGAAACTTGGTAGATTATATTCGATAGGTAGGTAGGTGATCTAACGCCTTATAGAAAGATAATATTCACGGATGAAGTCCTTCGAAACGTGAAGTACTTCTGCGGGTCTAGTGGACGTTTCACAGAAAAACTCGAAATCCAAACATACTTTATTTAGATTTAAAAATCACCAAAATTTCGATAGAGTCGTAAAAATATCGTTTTCGCAGTGCCAATTATAGTCAACCGATAAGGCCTTTTATGTTTAAAAACTTCTATTTATTCTAAAAACAAAACTTACAACCTTTTTTTATAAAGTATGATTTCACAAGTTGAGTAGGTAACTAATATGAAGTGAAGTAAACATGAAGAAATGGCACAATATAACAAAACTATTGTCTATTCTGTAAATTGTAGCAGAAATAAATTTAAATTAACCTTGAAGAATGGAATCGGATTACTTACAGGTACCTATTATTGTGGTATCGTGAGAACCACGTAACATATTAACTATATGCATCATTTTGAACAGCTGAATGCCTTTTACGGCTTTTAAATTTTAAGTAAGAACACTGGTCAACATTTGAACAGTTACTTTTGTTTAAATATTAAACAATTAAATAACTTTTTAGTATTTATTGTTTAGTAGTTCAGGATAGGAAAGAGTGGATTTGCGTGTCCAACCAGTCTTAGGACTGACGACCTTATGATGATGAACAAATCGAGAGAAACATAAAAAAACAGACGCCTGACAGAGCATAAAAATAGTTATTTAAAAAACAAAACTGATTCAACCGTTGCTAATCATGTTATTCATGAAATACGTTGTTTTAACGATAATTTGTAATATAATAAGTAAATGAACCCCCTTAGAGAATCTAAAAATAAATTTAATAAACCACAATTAATTTTGAATGGCCATGTTAAAGGTAATAACTCCTCACTTTTGAATTTATTTTTACTCAATTCCACCCTCCAAATATTTGTAGTACCTATTACAAGGAAATACTCAATTGCCTGAGGAAGTCGATGTTGTTACGAAATAAAAAGTTTGTGAAAATCTTTGAATGTTTCTTTATTCTTATTTAAAAATGAACTTTTATTATATGTAAAGGTTCAAGGTTTAACACTTCTGAAATATAAAAATTAAAGCTCCAGGGTGTCTTTTGAAGATTTCCCCTTTTCNAAAAATATATATACTTTAGGTTCTCTATAATTTTTATACCAGACCAGTCGAAAACCACCTGCTTCTCTAGATGCTTACAACTTTTGGAGCAATATCCAAAATAACATTAATGTTATACTTTATCAACATATTATTTTAATTCTGGAAACTGAACAGTTACAAACACTTCCTTGGATAGCGATTTTGTAACATGTTGAATTAATTCTTTTAATTCCCACCTACCACACATGTATACATAACACTTTTAAAAAATAAATACTAGTCAAGTGTTTATGTACAATAGATAAAATGTTTATCGTGTGAACTATCACATTTAAAGTAATTGTAGTAGCGTGCAAGTGTTTACGACATATTTTCACTGTATCAGTTCTGCTCATAAGTGAATGCCATTATTTAATGTTACATTCCATCTGTCCTGAATACCGCTACCTTGTTATGTAGCACTCAAAATTTCTTTCAAGTTGTATTCCGCATCATTATTAAGCCACCAAAATATTTATAAATCTCTGTGAAGGTGTATGGAAAATTATTGCATTTTTTACCTTTGCCTATTTACTTTTCTACGTTTGTTAAAGAAAAGTCAATGCGTCTGCTCATTATTATTTATTAAAGTTAGTGTTTTTACATCAAATTACACTTTACTAATCGTTACGGATCGGACTTAATACTCACCGAAGACTGTATTCCGAAAAATCCTAAAATGTATACAGAAATATTGTACGAAATTTCGCTCTTGAGACCTTTTTAGAAGAATTTTTGTAGGGTTTTCAATACATTAAACTGAATTATTGTTCTTATCACTACGAACAACCTCAAACTAATGAGGAAAAATTGTTACTGCTATGACGCCCTCGCCGGAAATCGAACCCGGATCCTTGGCTTTACCTACCATTGCTCTACCACTATACTACAGGTGACAGTAGCAACAATGACGAATAACCATGAATAATAATTTGTTAATACATACAGCATACAACCTGAATCTTTTAAAACGAAATTTTAAATGCTTATTCATGTTTATAATAATACTACATTAATTACATTATTTTTTAGATGTAATCTCGTTACAAAATACAGCGATAATAATATTATCATATTAATTTTTAACGAAGATTTACTTTGCTATTATAAAAAAATACATTTTTTCAGCATTTATTAAGCTATAACACTTTTAACTTTCAAAATTTACTTTGCTTTAGGAATATTGAATTAAATTTAATATATATAGGTATTCTACAATAATAAAGTTCCGTTGAACTACGTTAAAACGGAATCCTAAATGTGGTAATGTTGTACTGAAACAAATGAACCGATTTTGATAATGAGTAATTAGATTCAGGGCTGTTGTAAGCTATTGAAACCGGTGAGTTACTAATATTAACGTGCCCTAAAATGTGAAGAACAAAAAAATTAAATAGACATATAAAGTTCATACAAATTACCTAGTTCTGTTGTAAGAATGACCCTGAGGAAATTTGCTTGATTAATCTTGACATTGCCACAATAATTTAATGACGGACGTAGGTATGTTTCCTAGTAATTTAATTTAGCAGTTTTTATATTGTTGTATATTGTCATGTTACGCCATTAAAGATGCTTACATTTAATTTCTCTGCTTATGGCAAGATGAGTCACTTAGATGACATATCTATTAATTGTACAAACTATCAAAATTAACAATGCCTAGAAAGTAATCAATCTTGGGAGAAAGTTGTATGAGAGAAAAAGTGATAATGACCCTTTTTAACCTCGACAGTACCAAAAAATATATCTTTGTTATTATTTATATCTAAAAATTGTTGTTGATAGAGTTAATTAGTTCTAAAATTAGTAGACAATAATTAGTATAAACAAAATTTTTTTATCAAAAAAATCTAAATACTAACCATAATTTAGCTACACATTTTCTATTCATACATTTTGATATACACTACCAGTGCCGAGCTTTGGAGGTGTAAACTAGATGCAATAAGCAATACCACGGTACGTTTAGAAGCGTTGTTAAGGGCAAAAACGTTTTTTAAGAAAATCACAATAATTCATAATCCGAAGCCGGTCCTGTGCGTGAATTGGCAACATAGGCGTCTACCGAATGGCGTAGCGCGATAAAAACTCCAGCTACAAGGATGGAAAATGCAAACATTACCGATTGTCGAACATCTGGGACGAACATAAACAATTTGGTACTACACATAATGTTTAGACTAAACGAAATAAATAAGTACAATACAGGCAACCGAAAAGAAGTAAA